TTGCTATAGGAGGCAAAAATTTGCCATATTCTGATACATTTTTGGTTTTTTGTTAACCCGCATATTCCCGGTTTGTCGAAATTTCACAGTTTTTGTGCTTGCAAGCTTTTATTGTACGGAAGAAAAGTAACAAGTCAAAATGAACTGGAACAAATATTTCAAACTCAATTTTATCAAATTTGGTTAATTTTGTTGAAAATTGGACTGCTTGTTTAAAATGATATTTATTTTGCACAATTTCAAATCAAATTAGACTTTTAAACGGGATAAGTCATTTGATTCAAATATAGGGTAGAAAGCAGGCTCAATTGCAATTTTTTTACGTGAACTGGATGCGAATAGAAAAATTAAAATTAGTTTGTTCTAAAAGTTAGCAATCAAGAGGCTGATTGTTCGAGACTTATCATAATTCCAATGAGGATCAAAGAAGTCATTTTGATCAAATATGTTAAACTATGTAAATTTTTATTTCATGGTCTCAACAAAAACACCTATACTATGGTTCTTTACTGAATTTTGGTCCAATTGTGATAAAATTTAGTAGTCCAAAAACAACTGAGCAATTTGTTCTTCACAGGATCATAGAGAAAAAAACAAGGTTCTGCCCAAAACTGTATGTGAAGCAGCTACCTTTACCAATATAATCTGACAGCGCATAGGTTTAAGAAAATTGTAACCCCCCCCACCCCTAACAAACAAAATTGTTCGCATCTCACGGTGCTTGGGGGGGGGGCTAATATGGAAACATTAGCCTAAAAACATGAGTTGGCGTAAGAAAGAGTAACTTAGATGGTCATTAAATGATAATACCTGAGTAGGTTGGCGGCTCCTCTGAAGTTGACCTCGTAGTACATTAGGGTCGTTCGGTTTGAAACAAACTCTTGGTTTGAAACAAACGGCAAGAGTCGCCTACTATTCACCCAACGGGAGAGCCTACTATTCATCGTTTTATTGCTCTGGTTTCCGTTTAACGCCGATAACAGTGCTCTATGATCTTCAAATTGCTCTTCAAACTCTGCGCCGTATAAATAATTTTTGGAATGTTCTGTTGCCCAAACCATCCCCAAAAATTCTTGCTCATTTTTTGAGTATTTTATTTCGTGGGTGTTTGAAAATCGAGAAGCGAATGCATTTGTTGACCAAATTTCCCCATCCCATTGTTCTAATTTAGCCTTTAAGCTTTCTAACGTCTGTTTTCAGTATTGATGTCTTTCCTGTATCAAAACGATTATTCTCCGTTAGATTTCCAATTTGTTTTTTTTTTCAGTTCTTCGAAGGTTTTCGTGTGAGAACCATCCCAATGGTATACTGATTTTTTGACTAATAAAAGACTGAGCTCAGTGCTTGCAAGTTGGAGACGAATTTCAGGTACTGGTTTGCTTAACCAAGGAATGATCCTTATTCTAAAATGATTTTCGGGCTCGGAAGATTTTTTTTTGAATCCGATTTCCCAACCAATAGTTTTAGTTTTGTGTTTGAGATCTTGAACACCAACCATTCAATATATTTTTGGGAGAACGCGCTTTTCTCCCACTTAACTGCCATGTTTTTGCTTTTTGAGATAATTAAACTTTCGAAAAGATAGCTTTATCTTCTTTCAAAGAACCTTTTGAGGCAATTAAAATATCAGCGATGTAACATCTGGTAAACGGAAAATCGTTTAATAACGAATCCATTACTCTTTGGAGTTCGTTTGGCATGTCTCCCAACCCATAAAATCCCGTTTAAAATCAACATTTTCCGCTAGTTTCACCCCTACTATGCTAAAATTGCATTGTTTACACGTATGATCGCATAGTTGGAACTGGCTCTACACGTTTTTCAAATCTCAGTTACTGAAACACACTTTACCTAAAATTTGTTTTGAGAGTTGGAGAGCGATGTTGTCGATAAGTTCGCGGAATGTTTGGCATTTGATTTTTACTTTTGAGCGTCTGGTCGTTTAAGAGTTTAGAGTTTAGAATCTAAAACTAATTCAAAACTGCCATCTTTTTTTCTTGTAATTACGATTGAGCTTATGAAAAAGTCTTTGTGGCATTTATCTAACTTCACAATCTGCCCCTCTTTTTCCACTCTAATCATTTTGGACTTTACGTTTTCCAGTAAATGCAAAAAAACCCTTCTACCTTTGGTTTGAATTGCTTTAGGCGGAGATTGGAAATGTGTAAGATTTCTATCCAACGGTACTTTTCTTACTCTGTTAAAAAACCCTTTGAAATTATTTTACATATTAAGAGTTGTATTTGAATGGACATTAGACCCACACGTAATGGTTGTTTCTGCGCAATTTCTATCACGATTCGAGGTAAGTTGTCGTTTCCCAAGATGTTCCTATCATGTCCAGCGGTGATAAAAATTGGAGTTTCTTCTGAAATCCATCCGTTGGATTGTATTCTGACTACAATTTTTCCAATAATGTTCATTGTATCGTTGGTGAAGCGGCAATACGGTGCCCAGATTTTCTTGTCAACGGGTAGAATTTCCAATTATGGGTCTCTTAGTTTTAGCTCAAGTAGTTTTTTATGTTTCAGGAAACTTACTGGACTGGCTGAATCCACTGGAATATTCATACTTACAATTGCGTCCTCACAAAATCCGATATTTATAAGTTTGTTCGTTTCGACGCCATTGTCATCTTAGTTATTTCGTCTAACTATTATCGAGTAAACATCGTTGTCACTAGTTTTTTCTTCTGTACAGGCATTTATCACTCCACAAAAATTTTCTTCTGGGTTCAATTAAGAGTTCCCTGGAGAATATGGACAATTCTGATTATTTACATTTTCTTCTACATTATTTACAACTGGCCTTCTTCCTTTTGATTTACAGAGTCTTCCAAAGTGTCCTTTGTATAGACAAATGTTACATAGTGTTTCTTTTGCTGGACAAACCTTCAAACGTCCTTTGTTAAAAGTATTTCCACGTTTCATAAAGGTGTTGGATTTTTCTATATTCAGATTTTGTTCCTCTTTTATAGTATTAAAATTTTCGTACACAATTCCGCTACTGTTGTTTTGGCCTTCGTCATATTCGTTAGTTTGAGATGATTGTGAGAACCTTTCTCATCTATAATTGCTTGAATGAAGGTGTTCACTGGATTTAGCGTTTCCGGCAAGAGTCTTCGGTGGAGATCGCAATTTCTCATATTGAATATGAATACATCTCTTATCCATTCCTGCTCTGCATTTATTCCAATTTCGCAAGATCTAGCTTAATCCGATAACGTCACCAAACTCGTTCGTGGGACTCTCTGTCCTTCTGTTTTCGGCTCAATGACTCTTATCGTTCGAACGTAACGTTCGATGATTTGACAAACGTTGCGTCTCGAACGACGAAAAATACTTGAAGGAAATGGATAAGACCTTCACCCTTGGGTGTTTTTGAGAAAATACTTTTTTCCTCTCGGCTCCTAAGGCCAATTAAAGAATGGATCTTACTTTCGTATTTGCTTGGTTTCTCCCCATTTTCTCGAATTTTCGTTTCTCCTCTAAGATACTTTTGTACTCTGCGTTTTCGTAGACTCGCATTACTTCTTTGTTTCTGGGCCTCCCTGGCTTTCCTCTGTATTTCATTTTCTGAATCCTGAGCGCCTTATAAAATAAAGATTATCGTTTCCGACTCCAGTGGTTCTTTCTTGTTATCTATGTCCAAGTTCTCTTTGGCGATGATGGCCAGGTGAAATTGGTTGATCCAATTAGTCAAGTGGATTCGTGGCTCTACAGAATGGTTTGGCCAAAAGGCGGGATTCCCCGTAGATTGACTGTGCCATAATAAGAAGTTTTGAAATACCACAAGTGCACTAAAGCTAGTTAAGCTAAGTTACAAGAATAAAAGTAATTGTGTTGAATTAAAACTGACTGTTGTCTAAAGAGAACAATAGTGATGCTAAGTCCAATGCACTTCGTATACAGCACAACTGACTGGTAACTAATTAGTTGCTAGAGGTCAAGGTTACTACGTTAAAACTTACAATCACAATACCTTCCTTCTCAAGATAGAATATATTGGCTCCAAAGATGCCTTTAAAAAACTTAGGGTCGTTCGGCCAAAAAATGCATGTCCTAAAATTGTATCAAAGAGCGACCTTTTGAGTAGCCACGGAGTCAAACCCCTGGGGGGGGGGGCGTCCAGAACAGGTGTTTTCTATGAATATTTTCCTATTTCACACATAGTTTATTGAAGTCATTCTTTTTGCTATAGGAGGCAAAAATTTGCCATATTCTGATACATTTTTGGTTTTTTGTTAACCCGCATATTCCCGGTTTGTCGAAATTTCACAGTTTTTGTGCTTGCAAGCTTTTATTGTACGGAAGAAAAGTAACAAGTCAAAATGAACTGGAACAAATATTTCAAACTCAATTTTATCAAATTTGGTTAATTTTGTTGAAAATTGGACTGCTTGTTTAAAATGATATTTATTTTGCACAATTTCAAATCAAATTAGACTTTTAAACGGGATAAGTCATTTGATTCAAATATAGGGTAGAAAGCAGGCTCAATTGCAATTTTTTTACGTGAACTGGATGCGAATAGAAAAATTAAAATTAGTTTGTTCTAAAAGTTAGCAATCAAGAGGCTGATTGTTCGAGACTTATCATAATTCCAATGAGGATCAAAGAAGTCATTTTGATCAAATATGTTAAACTATGTAAATTTTTATTTCATGGTCTCAACAAAAACACCTATACTATGGTTCTTTACTGAATTTTGGTCCAATTGTGATAAAATTTAGTAGTCCAAAAACAACTGAGCAATTTGTTCTTCACAGGATCATAGAGAAAAAAACAAGGTTCTGCCCAAAACTGTATGTGAAGCAGCTACCTTTGCCAATATAATCTGACAGCGCATAGGTTTAAGAAAATTGTAACCCCCCCCACCCCTAACAAACAAAATTGTTCGCATCTCACGGTGCTTGGGGGGGGGCTAATATGGAAACATTAGCCTAAAAACATGAGTTGGCGTAAGAAAGAGTAACTTAGATGGTCATTAAATGATAATACCTGAGTAGGTTGGCGGCTCCTCTGAAGTTGACCTCGTAGTACATTAGAGGCAGCTGGATACTCTCGGCCACCGCTTTCAGACCGGCGAAGTGGATCACGCAGAAGAAAGTGTGCTGCAAGAATAGGAAAATAGTTTTAGCTCTTCTAACCGTCGGCTCTTTTTCCTCCACATCCACCCCCCCCCTTGCCACCTGTGAGTTTTTTCGCATAAATATTCTGTTCACAAAGTCTGATCGTTACATAAATCTGATGCGTATGTAGGGTGGGGGTGGGGAGGGAGGGAGGAAAGCGAGCCTAGCCCTCTCATACAACCTTCTGCATATACAGCGTTCTGCATATTCGATCTTAATTGTTTTACCCTAAAAGGATGTTTATAAAAGGTCTTCATATACTTCATAAAGTAGAAACGGTAAAAGAATTAATATTTGGAACTCATTTATTATCAAAGGGTTAAATCGGCAAACAGTCAACCCAAAGACAGGAAAAAGACAGGAAATATTACCCACACATACTTTCAGCCCTTCTTCGTCCCAGACCCTATTTTTTGTGGGCTTTGAACAACCATTCTCTTGTGTTTAAGGCATTAAGGGCTTTCCATATTTCAAATTTTGCATGCAAAGTTTTGATATTCCTGTCTGCAGTCAAAAAATGGGATTAAAATTGGTGAATTGTAGAAAAACATAACTAAATAGAATATAGTTCGATTATCAATTTCAATTAAGCTTTTTAAAAAATAAAAATGACAAACTGAGGGCAACTTTGCAACCGCGGTTTCTCTACAAACTCTTGAACTGAAAACAATCACTTAAGATATACCATTTATTCGATATTATTGACTTAAAATTGCTTTTCCATCTATCATATCACTTTCTAACCTTGTCGAATACTTGTTGCAGCTGTCGTTTGTCTGTAATGTCGGCCAAGTAGAATGTCACCTCAGTGCCTGTCATCTCCTCAATTCGCTTGAGGCTCTCGGGTTTGACTTCTCCCTCTGAAAATGATTCCAAAATTTTTTCTCGTCACTTTTTTTCTCCACATTTCAGTTCAAGAAGTTTTAAGTTTAAAGCACAAAAACACAAAAATCAAACTATGACAACTCTCACCTCTGTTTTAAATTTCCGATTTTTTAAAAATCAATTAGTTCTTCTAGTGTCTTTTGGTACATTTCTTAGATACACTATATTGTATGTAAAGCTTTTGCTTCGTTTATACAATCATTAAGTGTCGTGTAGTTTTCTCTCTCTCTCTTACGTTCCGAAAAAAACTCTTATTATTGGCAATTTACAAAACTAGAGGGGGGACATACTTTTAGTACTATTTTATAACATCCATTTTCGGCCGACCGACAGACCCTTCGGTGCCAGTATATACTAACTTTGCGTGAGGTCTGCAAGTCCAAGACCCAGGTCTGCACCTGATTATAGCAGACCAAACTGCATAAGACTACCCTTTTTGAAATATCTCAAGTTATTTTCAAATCTTTCCCAGAGGATAATTTTTTATTTGTTTCGATCATGGATTGGACGGAATTATGGCCCATTATGTGTTTCTTTCAGAATCCTGACAGAAACATCGCAGGGATGGAGTTGTGTGTGATATCATTAAAGTTCTCTTTCAGCCATGTATGTTAGGACGTTTATCCGCAAGGGAAAGCATCAAGATTCGAGCAGTTCGGTTCTTCACGGAGAAACGCTGTTGTGCCCCTGGATACAATTACCATTCAATTTTTTTGGCTAATTTCCCGAGCTGGGTAAAAATGTCTCACCCTCAAGCTCGAGCGCCGATCATGGTGGGCCTCGAACATCCGACCTTTCGATTGAGAGGTGGAGACGTTATCACTTCATCACCACTCTCGCCGCACTGAAGTTTCATTCATTCATGCATTTCACCCCTCCCTCCTATGTTAACCTCCTCCCATCTACGTTGGGGAGGGTAAAATATCGAGGAGGATATAAATGTGAAAAGTGATGAGGGGGAGGAAGAAGGGGTGCAGGGGGGTTGTTTGGTTGGAATGAAATTTGGTGCTTAGGGGGGTTACTAGTGTGTGTGTGTGTGTGTGTGTGTGTGTGTGTGTGTGTGTGTGTGTGTGTGTGTTTGTGTGTGTGTATGTGTGTGTGTGTGTGTGTGTGTGTGTAAGTGGGTGTGGTGGGGGTAGGGAAGGGGGATTGGGCTGTGTGAAATTTCAGTATGGGGGGAGGGGTACATGGGGATGCACACGTTCATTTGGGTTTTAGTTTTGCAGAACTTAGAGTAAGCATAACGCAGAGCAAAAATAGAGTAAACATTTCAGATTTGCAAAAAATAATCAATTCTCATGGATTTAATGAGCAACAAAATTGCTTATTTTGAAACAAAAAACGGATTACAATCGATTATAATGGATTTTGAAGATTAAAATAATAGATTATAATCCCCTAAAAATCCATTTTCCCATTTGAATGGGTCTTAAGAACCGGTTGCCGGGGTTACGTTTTTTTTTGCCGGTATAATCCAATATAGTCGATTATTTCACATGAAATTTTAAAGCGGACCAATATATCGGCTTATGAATAGTCAGAATTGTCATTTGAAACCGGAAACCAGTCCTTGCGCAAGAGCAAAGTAAGTTTTATCAGAGATATTCTGCAAAAAGTTTGCAAAAAACAATACAAAACTTCATTTATCTTTTAGCGTTTTTTTTATATTGGAAGGAACGAAAAGTAAGCTTTAGCAGAAAAGTACCTTTCCGGATAGACGTTTTTGGTAAGCATAGCTGAAAAAAAACTGGAAAGAATAAGATTTGGATGGCAGTGACTAGCTTTATCCGACAAATTGAAACTTTATTCTCATATGCAGAAAAATGCGGTCATATTTCCTCAGCATTTTTTGAACTGATTATTTGAAGTTGGGATCAACAATCAATCAACAAGCTTTATCATTGACATCACATTTATCTCGAGTTTTATTTGAGATTGAAGTACATAAAATAGCCGCGAAAAATTTACCCTAGTTTTATTGGCGTCGAGAAAAATTGGTCTGGACGTTTTCGTTATCCGTTTACTTTTCCTTTAGGGATCACTTCAAAATTGCATCATTCTTTCTTTCGAACGTCAAATCTATTTTTTTTCTAGTTTGACAGTATATTAGCGGTAAATTAAACAATTTTACATACGTATTTTAATTTTCGAACTTTTTCTTCGCCTCAAAAATGGACAAAAAAAGCGTTTTTTTTTCTGCTACAATAATTATGGTTGGATTTTTCTCTGTTCGGACATTTCATCAACGGCTAATTTTTTTAAAGGTTTTTTATAACTTAATTTGCTTTTAAGTTTCTGTTTTCTGAAAATAGACAGTGTGAAAGCTTTGTAAATCATAAAGCAACTACTATAAATTAAGAAATATTTCAAACCAGTTAACATCCCTCCCCCCTCCCTCCCTCCCTCTGCGATTTTTTTTGGGTTTTTTTTTTGGGTTCTAGATAAATTTTCAGCCAATCACAATCGAGCATTTTACCTGCAGCGCTGAAGGTAAATGCTCTCTAACTTGGTAAGTTTGAGGGAGGCCCTTAACTTGATATAATCTTTCTTACCAGCTATGTATGAGTTGGAGCAATTGTCCAATACGACAAGATCTTTGAAACCTCTCTGGATCAACTCGAGCACAGTGTGTGACCCAATGTATCCTGCGCCTCCAGTAACCAGAAGACATCCATTATTAGCTGTTCGATTATTGTTTATAACAAGTCCATTTCTAGTAGAGTCATGGTCATTCGGGGCCATAGTTTTTTTTTCACTGAAGACACTCACAGTTCGTATCTATCTTTTGGCCTCGATATTAATTTATTTTAAAAAAGCTGATCAAAAAAAACTTTCAACGAATTCAAAAATATATAGTCGACAATAAATCAGAAAACAACATAAAAACTTGCTAAATTTAATACTCAATAGTCAATGAACAGTGGTATGTTGAATATTTAAAGATATCAATTGTATCATGACATGGTGTTTTGTGATTTGGATTCAGTTTAGCGAGCTTAGACACGTCATTTTGGTTTGCGTCATCTTTGTCTGGCATATGCGTTGAAAAACAAATTAAAAATTGATAACAAGATTAGACAAAAAAAACGTGAAAATTTTGTGATATCATGATTTTATACGAATTGAGGCTATTGGTTATTTTTATGACCAGACGAGAAAGCGAGATTGAAATGCGTGGTTGCTTTTTTTGTAAGAGGACAAATTTACGATGCTACTTTTCAAGCACCGAACAAATTCGATGTTCAAATCATGCTTTGGTGTTCCGAGTTTCGAAGAAAGGGACAAAATACATGTGCTTCATTTGGTTTTTCTCTTCAGAAGATTTTTAAGAGGAAAGAATATAAAAAGATACTTAAAAACATAATCAGTAGATCTATGTGAACGATGGGAAAGTTCTACGGTCCGAAATTAATTTCCGAAAACCCATCATCCTTATTCACTTGGGGCCGATCATTCACAAAACTCAGTAAGTCACTGGCAATTGTTTTAAATGATTTATCATTGTTTAAAAAAAACCAGTTTGGGATAACTCGTTAAATTGAATTATCTTCAATGATCTGAAGTAAAGGCAGCAATTTAATTTAGCTCATGAATAGTCAGTCAAAGACGCTTTCGTAATTTACATAACGTCTGAGTAGATTTTGAAGAAAAAGGTGCAAAAAGTTTTCTTTTGAAATTTTTTTTTGTTCCGACTTTCGATACGAAAGTAACGGAATATTTGTGCTCGGGGTGGGTTTTTTTCTTCTGACAAATTTTGACTTTTTAACTAGCCATTTTTGACGGATTTTTTTTATATCACTCAAAAGGTATTGGTGTCCTGAGCTTAAATTTGAAAAGATATTTCACCTGTGATCATTTTTTGTAAAGTTATGGGGGTTTAAAGATTGTCATTTTGGGAAATTTGGGACAATTAACGCGCAATATATTTCGCGCTATCAACGCGTAAGCGGAGATTTAATCCGTCTTAAAATTGTTCCAAATTGGTTGAAAGAAGCTTATTTGCCATAATTGATTTGTTACAAGGAGCTAAATCTATCTTTTTGTACTTTATATGGCGTGTGGGGGGATGATTTTCATAAAAAATTTCAAATTTTAGAAAAAAAATTTTTTCATTTTATTTTATTACATTCAATTTTTTGATGTTAATACTGCTCCATAAAGCCTTAAAAGGCAGTCGGAACATTCAGGGCTTCGCCTTGATACGAGCAGTCTTGTTAAATTTTTAAAAACAATTATTTTTTCATAGATGTTGGAGAGCAGTTGGAGCATCAATGCTTTGACCGGATACTGTCATCCTTTCTAATGTATCAACCTGAATGTTTTCAGTGCTCAGTTTCAACCACAGCAGTCAAAGTCGGACTATCACTCGCGTGTCTGAATACTCTCAATCTCATTTTTCTCTACATTTTTCTTGTTTTAATAGATTTTTCGGTACAAAAAACGCAAAACGCAATTTTTTTATTTTAATGGTATATTCTCTGTATTCATTGACGATGCACTTCCTAAAACTTAGCACCTTCTTTGAAAGTGCTGTGATTTGAAAGTGCTGTGATGAAAGCAGTGATTTGAAGTTGGCATTGACAGGTAAAATTTGCAAGTAACCTATCAAAAAACTGAGAATATCTAGCGTTGTTACATAAAAGGTTGTGTACAAGCATGAACAGATATTAACCATTGCAATTATAGCCCAATATTATGTCACTTTCAGCCTGATGTGATCATAGTTATGATCTGATCCAATTAAATACCTCCGATTTGCTATCTCAAATAGAATTTTCAGATAGAGCACACCGTTGGATTGTCATGCTATCTGTTTCCGGTCTGATAGGTTCATGCAACTATATAGTTTAATGCTGATCCTCAAGCTACTCTCATTTTCTATATATCAAGGGATCCCAAAAAACTTGAAAAATCAGTTCATTGTTTCTAAGCATCCATGTATTGCATAAAAATTTTGGACCAAATTTTACTTAGAAAATGTTGACTTGTTAATCAATTTGTACGCTGATTGGGTAAAATCATTTCTAATGCCATTTTTCTAATTACTCACTAATTGCGCTGCTCGTGTCATTGGCGCTAAAATATAGAATAAAAAAGCAAACCTTTCCAAAAAAACACTGCTGCGCTGAATTTTCGTTAGGATTTATATATGCTTAAACGATTCAAAAACTGACAACCAAGCAAATCATTGGCTCATTATTTCTAGAAAAAAGTCGTGAAAAACTAAACCAAAAGTTTCGTTGTTTAGTAAATTTTAAAATTGTTTCAATGTTTCAAAAATCACAGAAATCAGTTTTAACTTTAAAAAAATTTAAACTTTTTTCAATTTTCTACCATGCTGTAAAACAATTGTCTACAAACCATTTAGAAAACTTTTCAATCTTTTTTATCCAAATGAAATTTTTTTAACGTTTCAACCAAACGTAAACGATTTTGTTTTGTTTTTCAGACTACTACTTCTTGACCACTATAATAATCAAATGATTCGCCAGTAGGTCTCCACCTTGAGCAATGCAGAACTACCGAAAATAGTGCAGTTGTAACTTGAGAAGTTATAGATAGGTCGAACAACCAACTAAACTGTAAACACTGGAGGCGATCTATATAAAAAAAACAAATTGAGCTTGAAGCCGCGCGATGAGTTTCAAAGCAATAAAATCAAGCCCTGAGAAATAAGCTTTTACAAAAAATTAGGCCCTAAAATCAAGCCCTTAAAATTAAGCCCTAAAACTAAGTTCTGAAAATGTAAATGTATAAATCGAAATCTTAACTCAGAAATTTCCATAAAAAACAATTTAAAAACTTCTAGTTGAAATTTTCTAAGCTAATTGATTATTTATAGAGGTCAACTATGATTCTTAAAATGCATGGTAAAAACCAAAACTATGAGTCAAAAAATTTCTACGCAATTAGGTTTTTAAACTTTTTTGAAAAGAGATTTACATGTAGAAATCAATGAGATACAATTCAGACGTTGAATTGATCGATTTTGTTTCAATTATTTGTTCAAATTCCTTGACCAAAACGTCTTTTGCGATCATTTTGGCGTTAGGTATAGAAGATGTTGTTTACACTGGTGGACAAAATTAAGGGAAAGTTTAAAAAACCCTTTTTTTGAGGTCCATATTGGACAACAATTCCTTTAAAATTCAGTAAAATTTTTCGAGCAATTTAACAAAACTACCATCTATGAAACTATAAAAATTTGGTTTCACAGACTTACTAAAGTAATCCGGCTTACAAAGACAGTTTTCCTCAAGTAACTTAAGTTTTGCATGTGGTGAATTTTTCTTAAAAAAAGGAGTAAAAAAACTTGTTTGAGGAGTAAAAACTTGTCAAGTGGAGTAAAAAAAATAATCAATAAATTTTTTTTAAAAACTGGGATGTTTTTTGATTTTTCACCGTAAATAAAAACCTTAGTGCAGATGAGGAAAACTGACCCGGATTATATTGAAATCCATTGAAACCAAGTTTTGTTCCACATAAGGTAGCTCTGATCAGTTGCTCTGTGTCTATGTAAATTTTTTCTGGGTTTCAAAGGTTTTTTGGTAAAAATGAACAATGAAACAGACGTTTTTGAGAAAAAAAATATCGCGCCTAGTTTTCTACATTTGTGTATTACAGCAGGTAATACAAAAGCAATAACGGATTTGAAAAAATTTAGATCATTTCTTTCTATTCTTAAGCTTATCGTCCCCTAATAAAATAAATTGTTTCAAATTTAAGTATTTATTTATAAGTTTAAGATACTGTTTAAAAGCTTATTTGAAAGTGAAGTAATTATTTTGAAATTTTTGGAACAGAACGTGCATGACACGTAACAAAATTTCTGTAAGAAAACACTAGAGAGACAAAACGCGGCAGTAACTACGTCGAGAATATCATTTGACATTGGAAGAAAAGAAGCCTCTCGGTATTTAACGATTGTGCAGTTACAATCCCTAATGGACTTATTTCATTGATCGGAAAGGCTGGAAAAGAATAGCATTCTTTTCTGGCTGTAAGGAAGGAGCTTCTCAAACGAA